AATAGTAAAGCCATCTATGAGAAAGCCACTGCCAGCATACTCCTAAATAGACAAAAATTGGAACCATTTCCCCCTGAAAACTGGAACAAGACAAGGATGCCCACTCTCACCCCTCCTGTTCAACATAGTATTGGAAGTACTGGTTCGAGCAATCAGAGAAGAGAAGGCAATCAGGGTATCCAAATAGGAAAGGAGGAAGTCAAATTATCTCTCTTTGCAGATGATATGATTGTGTACCTTGAAAACCCAAGAGAATCTGTCAAAAACCTCCTTACACGGATAAAGGCCTTTGGCTAAGTCTCAGGATACAAAATAAATGTGCAAAAGACAATGGCATTTCTTTACACCAATAATAAACAAACAGAAACCCAAATAAAAAACACAATTCCATTCACAATAGCCACAAAAATAACGAAATACCTTGGCATCTTCCTAACCAGAGATGTGAAAGACCTTTACAATGAAAACTACAAAACACTGCTCAAAGAAATCAAAGATGACACAAACAAGTGGAAAAATATCCCATGCTCATGGATTGGAAGAATCAACATTGTGAAGATGTCCATCTTACCTAAGGCAATCTACAAATTCAATGCAATACCCATCAAATTACCAGCAACATTCTTCTCAGACCTGGAAAAACAACACAGGAATTCATATGGAAACACAAACGTCCAAGAATAGCCAGAACAATTCTTAACAAAAAATACAAAGCAGGTGATATCACATTACCAGACTTCAAACTCTACTATAAAGCTACAATCATCAAAACAGCTTGGTATTGGTATAGGAACAGGCATATAGATCAATGGAATAGAATTGAGATTCCAGAAACAAAACCTCAATTTCTCAACCAACTCATCTTCGACAAAGCCTCCACCACCTACCACTGGGGAGAGGAGAACCTATTCAGCAAATGGTGCTGGGAAAACTGGCTGACCACATGCAGAAGATTGAAACAGGAACCCTATCTATCCCCATGCACAAAGGTTAACTCCAAATAGATCACAGAGCTAAATGTAAAACCTCAAACCATAAGAACCTTAGAAAATGAAGGACATACCCTCATGGAAATCAGAACTGGCG